GAAGATTAAATTTAAACATGTACAATCATGTAAATCACCATCCTAATCGAAATGCGTACCCATCTTGTTTCTGTTTGCAGCCATCTTCCACTAAAAGGCAACCTAAAAAGTGGAGCGTATGCCTGCACTTGCGAAAACTGTGGCCACTTCTTCAAGTTCCGAGCTGTAGACGAATTTAAAGACAGTATTTCTATAACTATCAATGGACAGGTTTACAATGGTAGGTTTTCTATTACAGCAAACATATTAAGCGTCTTTGCATTTATATTATTACAATAAATTATCTGTTTTTTTGCAATTACTGTTTACTCTTTGGTGTTTAATATCTTAATTTTCATATATATATATATATATAGTTATAATTACACGACCTCAAATATTCGAAATCCCCCCCCCCCCCCCCTAAATCCCTCCCCCCCCCCCGCCCATTATTTTAGAATCTGTTAATTTGTGTGTAATATTTTTAATTTTTTTATGCAAAAAACGATAAGGAAATATGAAGAAAAACCTGTTCTAGTGCGTAGGAGCCCATTTTGAATTATCACTGAAGAAACTGGGAACAGTTAGAAGGCAGTAGACACGTTTATACAATTAGTGATTAATTGATTATCTTCAAATGTCCTAGCATGACGACTGGGTAATGGCAGCGTCAGCAGCAGTACAACTACAAAAACATATCAACAGACTTCACTCTGAATGCCACAACGTCAGTTGAAGATCAACATAGACAAATATAACTGATGACATTCTCAAGAAAGCGAACAACAACCAACATCAAAATTGATAACTGTCACCTTTAGCAGGCAAAGGATTCATATAATTTTGTTTCAGAAAACCAAAGAATGAATAAACGCATACAACAGAGATGCACAGTCAATCCAATAAAATCATACACCAGATCGCACTAATATTGAGATGTAAGCCCCTGGATATGAACACTAAAAGAGCAGCACAATATTCTTACCATTGCTGTCAATATCAAACATGGACACTGTCTTCGGAAGACAAAAGGAGGTGTAACAAACAAAAAAAGACTGACTAAAGAATGATGATATCAGGAGAAGAGTCAGTACATAATTAATGCAAAACTTTATCCGTAGAAAAGAGATCAAGTGGTTTGGCCATGTAATAAGTCTGGCCGCAGACAGGACACCACAAAGAGGAATGCTATGCAGACACTGCGGTAACAGAACTAGAGCTCAACACATCAGAAGATGCACTGCGGAAATATCAGAAAGACTGACAAGCACTATACACGAAAGTAACAGAGGTACCCGTTCCAGAGATCTCTTCCCACGCTGTTCCTTGAGGCATTCCAGAAGTAGAGAAAAGAAAAAGAGCCAGAAGAGCTATAGGAAATGTTTTAGTCTCCTATTTTCCCTCTCTCCCAACGATAGTATTCCATTATGTTACATAAAAGCCTGGGAACCATATTCAATTGGGATATGATACTAATTCAAGCCAGGGATAAAGTTGTTATTCTCCGTATTTCTCCATATTTTGTTTCTGATAAATGTGTCTGGTGTTTTCTCTTGATTACATCGGTTAGATAACATTTGTCAACACATTTTCAGAAGTTACTTATATTAGAATTTTGATACGTTTTTTATTGATTTTGAAGTTCACCTATTGGCTCTAGGTTTTAAAAAAATATAAATAATGAATTTCCCAGGTGGACCCAGCCTTGAATGGGTACGAGGTACAGTCCTGGGAAATAAAGGCTGCCGGTATGATACTGACCACATCACCCACTGAGTGCCGATTGGTTTATACTCGTAAAATGTAGGTCTAGCCCTATATGCCAAAAACGCATAAAGGCGTAAAAAGGATTCATTACTTTACCTACTTTAAATATTTTACAAATGCGTTGCAAAATCAATTGATTTTTTTTTCACATAAAATAATTCAAAGTTAACATTATTTAATGTTTTGAAAACACGACATTTCTTATACATTGTGTTTACTGACCTGTGTAATAGATTACTTCAGCAAAAGAAAACATTTACTTAATTCGTCTATTTAAAAAAAAAACATGTGGCAACTTCCATGCTGTTACTAATGGTCATCTGCAGTTGTATTTTTTTTTTTTTTTAGTTGGCAATGAACACAATCCAGCCACGTCGCTCCTGGAGTTTATGCGCCACGTGGGCATCTCTAGAGGTACCAAAGGATGTTGCTTTGAGGGTGGGTGCGGAGTTTGCCTTGTCACGGTCAAGTTCTTGGACCCTCTCACCAAAAACACCAGATTGTACACAATCAACTCGGTAAGTAGATGAGGCTACGTGTCTGGATTCTGTGGAATAACTGAATACTACAAAATAATGAACTAGTGGATTCACATGGGACGAGGGTGCAAATGGGTGTTGCTGATATAAAATGCCATCCCCACGGCTGCCCCTATGGCTGAACAAAGTGAAGCACCTAAAGGAGTCCGAGCTTTGGGTGGTGGAAGCAGAGAACACCATTAGCCAAATTTGCCCAGTGGAACATGTCAGACTTGTTGCTGAATGTAAGTCAACACCAAGGTAAAAAAAAAAAAATCACCATGGACAGTTATTGCAGAGAACCGTTGATGCTGAAACAAGGGCCCTCATCTACTGGTATACTCTAGCCGCTGACTTCATCGTCTATTTATATTGCTCAGTGATTTTTGGGGTGCGGTCTGGAATTGAGGGGGGGGGGGGGGAAGAGAGGAGAGTAGGGTCCTGAGGCGAGAGAAAAGACAGCGCAGATAAATGGCAGCGACAGGAGCAAATAAAGGTCAGGTATTTGTTTAACTACTTCTGTCACAGATGAACTTGCATTGCTTACAGAACAGAAGACAACTCATTCGTTGGTAATTACACACTCAGTGAGCATGCTTAAGAAGATCCGAACTGGCAAACTCCGACTGGAATTGGCTAGTAGAATGCGAGTCAGAGACGATAAACCGCTTGTCCGATGGCTTGATCATATGTTTTTTTTTTTTTAAAGCGTTCAGTCTGTAGTATAAAATCATCAAGAGAATTAGAAAACGGGACAGGTTAACGACAACGTTATAAAACAAACTTGGGCTGACATACAGAAGTATACTGATGATATTGAGGATGATAATGATGTATTTCTGTGTTTGTTGATCCTTCTGCTCGCTTCGGTCAACAGTGCTGCCTTCAGCTGTACACTTGTGATGGTCTGGAAGTGACCACAATTGAGGGTCTGGGAAGCACCAGAACAGGACTACACCCTATACAAAGCCGACTGGCCAGTTTTGACGGGGCACAGTGTGGCTTCTGTACACCAGGCCAGATCATGAATATGTATGGGTGAGTACGAGGCCAGGTCATGAATATGTATAGCTGAGTACGAGGCCAGGTCATGAATATGTATGGGTGAGTACCTGGCCAGGTCATGAATATGTATGGGTGAGTACCAGGCCAGGTCATGAATATGTATGGGTGAGTACCAGGAAAGGTCATGAATATGTATTGTTAAGTACCAGGCCAGGTCATGAATATGTATGGGTGAGTACCAGGAAAGGTCATGAATATGTATGGATGAGTACCAGGCCAGGTCATGAATATGTATGGGTGAGTACCAGGCCAGGTCATGAATATGTATGGGTGAGTAAGAGGACAGGTCATGAATATGTATGGGTGAGTACCAGGCCAGGTCATGAATATGTATGGGTGAGTACCAGGCCAGGTCATGAATATGTATTGTTAAGTACCAGGCCAGGTCATGAATATGTATGGGTGAGTACGAGGCCAGGTCATGAATATGTATGGGTGAGTACCAGGCGATATCATAAATGTGTATGGGTGAGTACTAGGCCAGGTCATGAATATGTATGGGTGAGTAAGAGGACAGGTCATGAATATGTATGAGTGAGTATTAACTGCACGTCTTTTTTCTGACAGTACGCATTACCGACACCGTTTTTGTAGCCAGCACTTTTTTTTAAAATGCTACTGTAATAGTGTATGTGGCGCTTCGTAATTCCAAGGTGCTAGATTCGATCCCAGCTGCGGGCGATTTGGCTGCACACCTCCTTGTGTTGGTTTCAATATAGAGAGTAGACCGTTGAGTTAGCAATGGCAAACTACTGAAAATAAATTGTCTAGTGAAATCATACAGAGACGGCATCTGCTGGGACTGGTTCTCCAACTCCTGTAAGGGATTCTCCGCTAGCTGTAATAGAAACTCTGTGCCCAGTACCGGAACCATTTTTTGTCTCTAGGAAAATGAAAGGCCCTGATTAATCGTCTCTATTTTCCATAAGTACATTTCGACATATTCTAACTGTAAAGGACTGGCCGGGAAAGCCTCGGGAAATACAGTCGGGTAGGTTATGGTTGGCCTGGTTGGCTTCGCTTGATAGGACTGAGATACTGAGTATTTCATAAAATGTTTTGCAAATAGAGTATGAGACAATGCTTAAGATGATGGATTGGTTGCTGCTGCCCCTTTGGGCAGTGAGCTGCTTATAGTGAGGCGGACGTGGTTAAGGGTCTCTGTGATGTTTTTCCCACTGTGCTAGTGTGGATCAAGTACGGACGCGCGCACGTGCGCTAGTGAGTGTATTGCGATATATCAGTGGCGTGAATAAGCGAGTGTGTGCGTGTGTGTGTATTGTGATATATAAGTCGTGTGTATGAGCGAGTGTGTGCGTCTGTGTGTGTGCGCGCGCGGGCAAGTACGGAATGCATCAGCGCGAATATTTTTGGGCTCACTACACTGACACTGATACTGACACTGACACTGACAACAAGAATTTGGGTATGTGTTACAAGATAAAGACAGACAAAAATTACAGGAACACACAAAAAATCAGAGACAGACAAAACGACAGAGAACAAAACAGAGAACAAAACAGAGAACAAACTAAACGAAAGAAGAGTAGAGAGGGGGAGACATGACTGGGGAGGGGAAACGGCGGTGTGAAGGGTGAATGAAAAATTATATAGACTTTTCTTTAAACCATAAAACTGTTAGCAATGATTGTGGTGTTTATATCTCGCCAGCCTCCTACAAAACAACCCGACGCCAACCATGCGACAAGTAGAAGATAACTATGATGCAACCATCTGTAGATGTACAGGTGAGACGGCTTCAACAACTTCATGCCTTCTACATTTTCTCATACATGCAATTTTTAGACATTCAGACTAGGGTTCAATAATGAATGTCCCAGCTTGACCAATTGTAATCATTTAATCTGTGTAAATTTTAAACAATAATGTCATTAAAAACAAAGGCTTACGACGAATCGTTGGACCAATTAAAGATCTGTTGAAATCCCCATTGATCACTGGCATCATGAGGAATATTGGACTGAAATGGCTGGGGCATACTGAGAGAATGTCAGACGTCAGAGAGGTTAGAAACTATATACACAATGGTCGTAGGCCATGAGGGAGATCAAGAGGGCAGTAGTGGGGAGATATATCCAGACAGACCTTCGAACACTTGATATCACTAACTGAAAAAATAAGGACAACCAGAGAGATGAATGGAGGCGCGTGATATCTGCAGTAGTGAACCTCAAGGACTAGGAATGCTGAATAAGAAGACAATCACCTCGGTATTTTCACTACTTCTGTACCACAGAACTCATTTTACGTTCATTTATTAGTCCAAAGAGAGCACAGTTGTCTCACTTTCTATTTCTCGTATACAATCGTTGTCTCATTCAAATTATATTGCTAGCTTTCTTCTGTGCCCTGTTTATTCATTTCAACATCTCTAGACCGCAACATTGGCTCACTTAAAACGGTGATTCGGAAGACAGAAATATGGTGATTACTGTGGGAGTCAAAGAGTTCATTATTAGCACACTGTTTGATGGGAATTCCAGTAGCTTAGTGGCTAGATACTAGCCTGCCTGTCCGAAAGTCAGGTTTGAATCCTTATCAGGTTTTATTTTTCGAAAACAACGACAAGGTCTTTCTTGTCAAATTGATACAGAAAATATCTAATGTACTAAAACGACAAAAGCGACTTAAGAAGAAACAATCACATCCCACAAGACAGAACTTCTCAAGACCATTAATAAACGGTATGCTGATGGTACGAGTCTACATTAGATATTAAATGAAGAAACAGTCTAAAGTTGGCGGAAGCTGGATTCAGTTTAAATCCGAAAGTAATAGTTGTACTAGAGAAAGAGTACGATACACATGCACTAGTGTGCTACTTTAGCAGCTAGCATCTGCACCTTGAGATATTTGCTGCCGGAGACGTAGAGTATATAGCTATGCCCGGTTTGGTTTAGTTTTTTTTTTTTTTTTTTTACATCAGTAATCGGTTTGAATAACATGTAACTCCCATTATCTTTTAGGCTACAGATCTATCCTCGACGCCATGAAATCTTTTGCCTCTGATGCTCCACCACATTTGAAGAAAAATGGAGGAGTCATTGATATTGAGGTAAATTAGACTTCACCTAGATTCAATGACTAACATTATAAACTGCTTGGGTGGATTAGTGGTTAGATTGTTGCTTCAGTGTTGCTTGGTTGGGTGGATTAGTGGTTAGATTGTTGCTTCAGTGGTTGCTTGGTTGGGTGGATTAGTGGTTAGATTGTTGCTTCAGTGGTTGCTTGGTTGGGTGGATTAGTGGTTAGATTGTTGCTTCAGTGGTTGCTTGGTTGGGTGGATTAGTGGTTAGATTGTTGCTTCAGTGGTTGCTTGGTTGGGTGGATTAGTGGTTAGATTGTTGCTTCAGTGGTTGCTTGGTTGGGTGGATTAGTGGTTAGATTGTTGCTTCAGTGTTGCTTGGTTGGGTGGATTAGTGGTTAGATTGTTGCTTCAGTGTTGCTTGGTTGGGTGGATTAGTGGTTAGATTGTTGCTTCAGTGGTTGCTTGGTTGGGTGGATTAGTGGTTAGATTGTTGCTTCAGTGGTTGCTTGGTTGGGTGGATTAGTGGTTAGATTGTTGCTTCAGTGTTGCTTGGTTGGGTGGATTAGTGGTTAGATTGTTGCTTCAGTGGTTGCTTGGTTGGGTGGATTAGTGGTTAGATTGTTGCTTCAGTGTTGCTTGGTTGGGTGGATTAGTGGTTAGATTGTTGCTTCAGTGTTGCTTGGTTGGGTGGATTAGTGGTTAGATTGTTGCTTCAGTGTTGCTTGGTTGGGTGGATTAGTGGTTAGATTGTTGCTTCAGTGTTGCTTGGTTGGGTGGATTAGTGGTTAGATTGTTGCTTCAGTGGTTGCTTGGTTGGGTGAATTAGTGGTTAGATTGTTGCTTCAGTGTTGCTTGGTTGGGTTTATTTCTGGTGGTCCTGAATACTTCAGGGGAATGGTAGGTGCATTGGGTTGGCTAATTTGTATGAATGAACAGGTGGATAATTAAATGGTTTCTTTGTTAGCTTGTAGTGTTTTGTTTTGTTTTTAATTAGTTGGGTAGTGTTAAAGTTGTTTATTTAGCTGTTTTGCCTGTTAATTGAATTCTCTGTGCATTCTCTGAGTTTCAACCTGAAGCATAAGCATTGATTTCAGCCTAGGACTGAAGAATTATTGCATCTATCAGAGACAGGCTGCTTCTCGGGACCGGTTCCAAACAAACCCATGGCCACTGTTTTCCACAGCTGTCTATGACCTTTATAAGTGAAGAAACCGCGCGGTATGGAATGCTCATACTAAAAGTTTTCATAAGGCAAGAGGCACATAACAAGTTATATAACCAGGCACATAACAAGGTACATAAACAGGCACATAATAAGGTAAATAACCAGGCACATATCAAGTCATCTAACCAGGCACATTACAAGGTATACAAATATAACCAGGCGCATAACAAGGTATATAACCAGGCACATAACAAGTTGTATAACCAGGCACATAACAAGATACATAGCCAGGCACATAATAAGGTATATAACCAGACACATAGCAAGGTATATAACCGGGTACATAACAAGGTATATAACCAGGCACATAACAAGGTATATAACCAGGCACATAGCAAGGTATATAACCAGGCACATAACAAGGTATATAACCAGGCACATACCAAGATACATAGCCAGGCACATTACAAGATACATAACCAAGCACATAACAATGTATACAAATATAACCAGGCACATAACAAGATATATAACCAGGCACATAACAAGGTATATAACCAGGTACATAACAAGATATATAACCAGGCACATAACAAGGTATATAACCAGGATCATACCAATGTATATAACCAAGCATACAAGCAAATAAAATTAGCACTGCACGCTAAGAGGCATAACGAAATATACGACTTACTTTTGGGCTAGGCTTCCGGTGAGCTTCCACAAACTACAAACACTAACCGGCTATGGGAACGTCGCAAGGAGAAACAATGAATACCCCCACCAACCAGGTTTGATGAGGTATTGGGGGTGGGGGGGGGGGACGGCCCGCGGAGGTGGCTATTCTTATAAAAGATTGATGACCGCTGTGCAGAGACAGCCGAATGAATCGGGATCGCCAAAGTACATCTTTTCACTTGGGAAAATTGAAAATTTAGAATGTGATCAATGAGTTCATCACAAAGTTCATTTGCGAACATCAGCTAGGTAGTTCCTTTCGAATCTACCATTTTTCTGTCTGATGTTTGTCTTCTTTAGGAGCTGGACGGCAAGCTATGCAAGAAGACAGGACAGGCTTGTGTTGGACACTGCGCCGGCCATACTAAGAAGGGCAAATCTGGCACATGTGAGAACAGTATGCCCAAACGGCTGCACATTGTGACGGACCAGGCCCAGTGGTTCAAACCTTTGACTCTGGCAGAGCTCTACCCTCTGCTGAAACAGTACGCTGCTCAAAACTACAGCTTGGTATTTGGAAACTCAGGCTTTGGTTCGTATCATATATGTATACGTGTGTGGCTGTATGTGCGAGATTTTCATTTCAACATCCCACACTCTTGTCTTAAAAAGCTGTTTGTTAAATGAATGGGTGATTTCCCTCCTTGTTGGGTTCGCACTAGTACATTTAGCTCAATGACCTCCTGCCATCTTGTTTGATTTAGGTTTGTTGTCGTGTATTTTTCTTTTGCACTATGTCAAGCTTACAGGTCGTTTTCCGTGGAACGCGTTTGTCCAGATCTTAAAAGAAACCACACTTGAGCAATATTACATATGTGTACTTAGACTCTTGTAAACAAACTACTATCTCATATCTGGTTAACAGTCAACGTCTCCACCCAACGATGAGAGATGTATATTGTACAGTGACTTTGGGTCACAGCTAAGAACTGTGAACATAGTGAGGTCCAATGAAAGCTTTAGATTGTTGTGACCAGTCACATTGCATTACACAATCCTAAATACTCTAAAGAGCACCAACTGTAGTCTGCACAGAACTGGAGAGCATTGCACCAAGCCCAAACTCTGTAGCTAGTGCGACTAGGCCCAGAGATCTTTGAATAAAATCTTCCTGTAAACCGAACGACACAGTCCGCCAAACGAACTCAGGATTTTCAGACAGAATGTTGAATGCTGAATGTTAAATAAGAAATCGACATTAGCACTCGGGACATTCCCATAAGCGCTCCGTCTCCATCTTCAGCAACAGGCGAAGAGTTCCAATTCCAACTTTCAGAGAGAGAGGGAGAGAGAGAGAATGAGAGAGAGAGAGAGAGAGAGAGAGAGAGAGAGAGAGAGAGAGAGAGAGAGAGAGAGAAATGGGTTACTGCTTCGCAAGAGCGACCCCAAAGTTTTGTTTGTTATGTTTCTGTAGTATAGAAAATACATAGCTACGACAGTCTGATATTTCAACAGTTAGGATAAGTTCATTCAGATCTCTTAAACTTCACTTTCTTTTGCAGGAATCTTTGGTGAAGTTGGACCGTGGAATTACAGCATCCTCATCGACATCAGAGGGATCCAAGAGCTGTACACAGTTGACGTAAATATTGAACATTAAACATCACTTTCATTATTACCCACTTGTCACCAGGATTTCCCTGCAAAAGAAACTACATGGTAGCGTGTAAGGTTTTTGTGTGTGAAGAAGAGGCAGGGACTGACCAACACTACGAGAGACACGGTACATTACAGACATACGTGGGAGAAATTAAACACTGGACACGAAGACACAATTGACTCAAAAATTATGGTTTACATTTTTTACGAAAGCCACACTTGGCGTGCAGTCATTAATGACTCATAGAAGACATTAATGACTCAGTGTGCATTAAACGTAACATGTAGACACATAATTTCAAAGATACATTTCACATAAAATAAATGTAGGACGTAAGGAAATTCTTGGACTGTGACAAACTAGACTCACTCTCGTTAAGGAAAGTCTTCCTCTTGTATAGCAGGGGATTTCAGGACTCTTACCAATATCCTATGTATTTAGTATGTAACAGCTCAGACACTCAGCTTTCATTGTTTCTGTGATTATTTTTTTCCCACTCATTCTCATTCCCTTCCTGATTTGACCCATTCACGCTACAGGATCCATAGCATTCTGTTCCAACGAATCGACCTCAAACCCAAATCATTCATGTCCCGCTTGCATACATCCTCATGCCGTAGTTGAGGCCGATCTCGCCATTTTCTACCCATCTGTAATTCACCATAGAGAATGTTGTTAGGGACTCTAGCATCCTTCATTTCCCAGGTGGTTCGTGTTGAGCTAGTGTAGTAGAAGTTCGGTTGTTTTGTCTGTTTAGTTTTCCGGTCAAAAAATGTGTCTCATTTAGTACTCCGTTGATAAAGACATTGGTCAAAACATTCTTTTGTATTTGTGCACATCTTTTCCATTCCTTCCAGCGTGATACAACCACATCTCCCACCAAGTGCGGACTGGTCTATAACATGGAAGTCTAGCCCTATATACCCTATAAACCTGAGGGCGGGGGAAAAAAGATCCTTTACTTTACCTACTTTCCGTCCCCTCCATTTAGATTTCTATCCATATTTTATTTGATTGAGACTGTATGATGATGATAATATAAGCTATTGTATAATGTGACGTTGTACATATTTATAATTGACGCTATCTGGGTCAATGGTTTCAGCTAACCCCAAGTGATCACATCACATTTGGGGCCAATGTAAACTTGACAACTCTGAAGGAAGTCTTTGAACAAACCAAAGATCCTGGCTTGCTGCCTTATGCTCCAACTTTCGTGGCACACCTCGGGCGCACCGCATCTTCTAGTCTAAGAAACGTAGGTGTTTTCAAACTTTCTAACACTTAATATAGCACTCACAACAGTGTCTTTAATTAAAATTTCATGGAAGAAAGTTTATGAGCGGTAATGGTATAGTTTTTGCTAATTTTCTAGTTCATTTAATCTAAGTACTGTTTTGTATCAAAGTATGCATACATTACCAGTGTATTTCATTTACCAATCTAAATTGTTTTTCTTCAAAGACAAATTGTTTAAATTCAATTTGTATCGTTTAATTTTATCTTACTTCTTTTATCAATCATACAGTGTCTTGTTGTGCCATTATATGTCACGCATGGCTTCAAGTCTATTCCCCCATTCTGTTGTATCCTGTACAATCAATTTTATATCAAAGATTGAAGCCATTCTAGCAATGCATAGATTGAAGCCGGTCTAGCAACTCATAGATTGAAGCCATTCTAGCAACTCATATATTGAAGCCATTCTAGCAACTCATAGATTGAAGCCATTCTAGCAACTTATAGATTAAACCCATTCTAGCAACTCATAGACTGAAGCCATTATAGCAACTCATAGATTGAAGCCAGTCTAGCAACTCATATGTTGCAGCCATTTTAGCAATTCATGTATTGAAGCCATTCAAGCAACTCATATATTGAAGCCATTCTAGTAACTCATATATTGAAGCCATTCTAGCAACTCATATATTGAAGCAATTCTAGCAACTCATATATTGAAGCCATTCTAGCAACTCATATATTGAAGCCATTCTAGCAACTCATAGATGGAAGCCATTCTAGCAATTCAAAGATTAAAGCCATTCTAGCAACTCATAGACTGAAGCCATTCTAGGACCTCATAGATTGAAGCCGTTCTAGTAACATATATTGAAGCGATTCTAGCAACCTAATAGATTGAAGCCATTCTAGAGACTCATAGATTGAAGCCATTTTAGCAACTCAATAGATTGAAGCCATTTTAGCAACTCATATATTGAAGCCATCCTAGCAACAATAGATTGAAGCCATTCTAGCAACTCATAGATTGAAGCCATTCTAGCAACTAATAGACTGAAGCTATTCTAGCAACTCACATATCGAAGCCTTTCTAGAAACTCATAGATTAAAGCTATTTTAGCAACTCAAAAGATTAAAGCCATTCTAGAGACTCATAGATTGAAGACATTCTAGCAACAATAGATTGAAGTTATTCTAGCAACTCATAGATTGAAGCCATTCTAGCAACTCATAGATTGAAGCTATTCTAGCAACTCACATATCGAAGCCATTCTAGCAACTCATAGATTAAAGCTATTTTAGCAACTCAAAAGACTAAAGCCATTCTAGAGACTCAGAGATTGAAGACATTCTAGCAGCAATAGATTGAAGCCATTCTAGCTACTCATATATTGAAGCCATTCTAGCAACTCAATAGATTTAAGCCATTCTAGCAACTCAAAAATGTAAGCCATTCTAGCTACTCATAGTTTTAAGCCATTCTAGCAACTCAAAAACTGAATCCCTTCTAGCAACTCATTTGTTGAAGCTATTCTAGCAACTTATAGATTGAACCCATTCTGGCAGCTTTAGCTTCTCTCATCAACGTTCGTTTGACGGTTTGTTTTGGGCACCCTTGCTTCCCTAGTCGTTTTATTTCTCCATTTAGTTCTTGTTTGGTGATTATCTGCCGGTTTCTTCTAAGGGCGTGTGATCTAGCGCTATCTTATTACTGTTACTACTAGTGGTTGCTCAGACATTTCTCTTATTTCTTCACCCGTCTGGAATTTGCCCCAATTTATGTTAAACATTTTCCTCAAGCATTTGTTTTCAAATGCGGTTAAATTCATAAAAAATAGGTTTTATTTAATATTTTTTGTTAATACCCAGAAACATGATTTGTTTACCCTTTGGCTCGATTTCGCAATCCTTTGGCCTTGATTCCATGATTGATACCGTAAATCTTGGAGAAATGTGACTGTTCTGCCCAACCCCGGGCGTGAACCCAGACCACAAGGAGTTCGTCACTCGTCGCCGCTAATTCAGGTTTAACCAACTACGCTAACGAGCCGGGCGTGTTTTATTTATAATTCGTATTGCTTTTATTCAAGTAAGTTTTGACATACTAATTAGGAACAAAAGTAAAGTACCCTCTTTTTATTACGCATTCGGGAGTATTGGGCACATAGGGCTAGACCTAAATTTCATAGACCATTGGGCACTTGGTGGGGGATGTAGTCAACATCACGTCGATGTCTCAGACTAACATTAAGATGGTGTGCACAAAAATATCTTCCTGACAGAGCCAGGCCTTATTTCAAATGTTCTTGGATCCTAGGTCGACCTAGTCATGTACGTGTGCCAGGTAAAATCCTGGTAAGTAAAGGCGGCCGGTGTGATGCTGGCCACATTAGCCAAGGAGTGACGATTTGTCTTTACAATATACGACTAGCCCTATGTGCCCAATAAGCCTGAAGGCGTTCAAAAAGGTCCTTTACATACTTCACAAGTTAGTTAAGTACGAACCTAAGTACTTGACATGGTCCATGTGTATTTGCAGCTGGTCTCCTGGGCCGGAAACCTTGCACTGAAGAACCGTCATCATGATTTCGCGTCTGATGTCTTTACCATGCTGGAGACTGTTGGTACAAAAGTCACTGTCGGTAAGACAATGTTTGATCTCAGCTTCATACAGTACTGAGTAGCATGCATGCGATTTTGTGTTCTTTATCTTCTAGTCACACACACTGACGCAACCGCTGTCTTTCATCTCAGACTGTGAACACATACATTTATTGACGTGAAACCAGTTGACCGTTTCTGCTCTTTATTGTAGTTCCAACAATGATCGTCTAGTCGCTGTCTTATATTTTGACTCCTCGCCCTAGGATCAAACGTCAGTGTTTGCGTTTTCCGCCTGTGAGGCAGGGGACGGCAAACAAACAAGTCAGTAAAACTGATGTACACGCAAAACGCAAGTCTGTAAAAGCCAAAAGTCCAAACGGGCGAACTACTGGGACCTTCCACCGGAATTCACAGCCGGTAAACAAAAGGAAAAAGTGGTTACGTTACACGCACTCGGTGTTCAAACTGGTATTAACTTGCATTCTAGTGGTGTCATCCATGCGAAGGATGAGCGAAGGACATGCATCTCTAACACAGCGCCACAGTTCTTTACAGTCGTTCAGTGTAGTAATCAAAATAAGCTTTCGTCAAGCATTCTTCAGGAAACAGGAACCTCTTCACACAGTCGTCAGTAATACATCATAGCAGTCATACCTCTCGTAGAACTGGACCATTTACTCTGGGTGCCAAACACTAACTAACTCGATCTCCTCTCTCACCTTCCAACCTTTCTCCCATTTCCGCTGGTGGTCACATTTCAATAGTTCAGTGAAACACAGAATTTGCGAGCCTTTTCCGCTCAGATTCTATTCCCTTGACTTACTCTGGATCCTATTATTTCATATGGGGGAACACTTTGGGAAATCCCATTATTACATACAATGATATGAATTATTAGTAAAACTATACCTGTTCCTTTTTGTATACAGTATCGAGGATTATACCATGTTTGATAATACGGTTCTCAGTTTGATATAGTATTGAGCATCATACCATTCTTGATACTGTTGATAAGATTATAATACTGTTGGTAAGACTATACAGTGTACTGAATTTCATTAGTACCGATGATCATACCATGCTTGACACTATTGTTGAAAACTATACCTGTTCTCAGTTTTATACAGTAATGATGTTTGCTTAGTCGCGTTATGACTTAGCCTTAAGGTCTTCTTCTTTTATTTTTGACTTTTTCACTCTTCCATTACCAAACAATTCACCATAGTCATCTCGGCAATTGCAACGATGATATAATGTTCTTGCCGTCGTCTTTTGTTACAGACAGATATCATATTAACCCTTCGTATCTGAAGTATTAGTTTTACTAGATCTTGATTTATAACGTAGTTGTTGTTTTCTTAAAGATCAACTCCTAGCAACAGTAGGGGTTAAAATAATGACTGCATTGAACTGAATAATTTTTTTTTTCAAAGTTAAACATTGTATGTATTTCCCTTTGACTTGTATAACAATTATGCATTAGCTTACAATATCTCGTTATGTATGGACAATTCTTTCAAGTCCCATGCTAGTAATTAAACTATTATTGTTTAGGATTGTCTGTTAAAAGATGTATGAATGAAATAATGTATGAAAGGAGAGAGAGAAATTATGGGCACAATGTTAAGCATTCACGTGTACCCACTTTTTGTCGTTTTAAAAAACAAACAGTTTCTTTGTTCTTTGCTCTAGCAGCAGTATGTATTGTCCGTACCCGCAGAAACACAGTAAATTACACTAGAGTATTACTGGGTGAAGCAGTTACGGGAGCCTAACTTATACCTTACTTTGGGTTTGCTTGGGGTATCAGGGATGTGTCTTGTTGGTTGCCTTCAAAGATGTGACATTTGATATCACAGTTATGGTCCTACTTTCAAGTAACAGTGCTTAGACAAAAGACAAATGTCTCTAGCAAAGATGTCACAACGCCGTGTTGAACTATACGTAGTATTATGCTCCCAGGTACAGCGTTATGTGCTTCAGTTGTTTGTCGCAGCATGAATAAGATAGTTGATCTGTAAATATACTTTCAGCCGACAGCAATGGATCCAGCCAGACATATACACTGTTGGATTTCCTGAATGTAGACTTGAAGGGAAAGGTGATCGTGTCTATGACGTTACCCAAGTACAACACTCCAGGACTTATCATCAGGACAATAAAAACAGCCCACAGGTTTCAGGTAACTAACTATAATACTTCTGTGAGAAGGGATATGATGAATATAAATAGGTAAATAGAATTAAGGCACAGTTTCAATCACAATCTTTATGAACACAAAACAGAAAAACAGGTATTTTTTATAAGCAAACTGTCGGCGTTGGTCAGAAAGTATTTGTGAACAACCGGGCAGCTTCCTGTTCCCTAAGAAGGAATGAAGAAATATTAGGCCCACAACTCCCTTAAAAGGATATCGCAAATGGCGACTGATTAGGCATGTGTGCTTCGACGTCAGGGTGCATCTACCGAACATGCAAGGAACCCACACTCTGCATACAGAAAAGTCAAAGTTGTACATTGATAGATATGACATTTATTTCCAAACATGAGCGTGTAAAACGGCAGTTTTCCAGAACGTACACAAAGGGTTAAATTGGTTAAATCTTCAATTTTGCAAACAGTTTGGAAATCACTTCAATATAATATTACAACAAGAAATAACACAGTAATATACAGACTGATGTTACATTACACGCAAACTAGAACTACATTTCATACCAGAATTCGGGTTAAACTTTAAAAATCTGCAGCTCAGTAACCGCTCGGTGTCAGTTGTTGAAATTTAGCAAACACAACCTGCTGATAATCATGTCCTTTTAATGTTAACAAACATTTGGTTTTTATTTCGCATTTTTTTTTTTTTTAACAATATATGAACATAAACAGACATCGATTCAAAGCAAATAATCAGCTTGCTTACAGTAACTTGAGTAAACTGAGTAAGAGGAACGTTTCAAACTATCTCATTGCACGCGGGTCGTAGGCGTTTCACTCTCATGTGGTATTTCCAGCATAAGTCTCCCGTGCATTGCGGATTTTTCATTGAGTGTGGAATAGACTATCAGAAAATCCACAGGCATCGCTGCCCATATAAACTCATTTGAAAATAATCTCCATATGTGTGTAAATTACCGTATATTATATTTTTCGGGGTACATAAAATATTAGTCACAGAGATATAAGAAATTCACCGTTTCAAGAAATTAGCAGCATCTTCGTAATTGTAAATGATAGAACCAAAAGGACATGGGTAATCTGAGGCTACATGCAGAAATTCGTGTTGATCCGTAGAGGAGTTTTTGAGATGTTTGTTATAGTGTGACGGCGTGAGTTTTGAAACGCACTATAGGTAGCTGTACATATTTGTAGCATGCTTGTGGTAAAAGCTCCCCCAACAAGAGTTTGATCAGGGTACTTAACTTCCATACAATTCTTCTGGTGCAACCAAATCGCTTATTGGTGTGCCCTGATCGATATGACGTCACTTATGTTAACAATTTACAAATAAATTATTAGTTTTTCCAGTACTATTCAGTATGTCTGTTCAATGCTATTCCATTTGTCTATCAACGAGGTGTGTTACAAATTGTGAGTTATGATTAGGGTTATCTTCACAGCACTCAGGACACGTCCATAGTGCTCAGATTCACCTTGTAACATATACTTTTGCGTCTCGAGGTTGATAGTCCCAGTCCTATGCTGAGTGACAAGACTTATCGTGCATCCGGTGTGCCGATCTTTACTCCAAATTCTTGAACTTTTAGCAAAGATGTGGGGTGCTGTGTTTCCAGTTGTGTTACTGACAAATAACTAGTTAATTAGTCAGCGTGTCAATCATCATTATCAACAATTTCTACTTCTGCCGTTATGCGTTGTAGGGAGAAGGGAGGGATAGTTTGGGATCCGTTGCTTGATGGACAGCAATGGCTACTGTTATCTCGTATCGATGTAGAAGCTCTGTATTATCGTCAATCTGTATTTTCTAGGGCAGCTTCTTACTTTCACTTCAGATCTCCCCCCGTGTGGGTTCCGGGCCCCATTATAGGGAAAACAAGAGTAGACCCACGGCCTCCCCAAAAAGCATGTTGTAAGAGTCGACTAACTGGGGGCTTCCTTCGAAGTCGGAGTGCATCTACTTGAGAGGCAAGGAACCAGCAGTCTGCATACAAAGAAGTCAGATCTGTAAAACGGATGCACACGCAAAACTCAGGTCATGGAACAAAGCAAAAGTCCAGAAAGCCAAAGTCCACTGGAGTTTAAAGCCGGTGAACGCCAACAACAGCAAACAAACTTCAGATCTTATCACGTGTAGCGCCTGCAGTGTGTCAATATTAGTAACTATTTCTGTCACCTTTGCGTGTTTCCAGTTGTGTCACGCCCACGTGACCTCTGGCTTCAACTTTCAAGTGGATCCAAGCAACAACTATCTGGTCAAGGCAAAACCCACCGTTGTCATTCAAGGCATCAACGGTGATTTGGTGAGTCGTTCACACGATTCAGTGTGATGCTTGTACAGCGTGACTCGCTTGTTTAGTATATGTGTCTGTGAATGTGTTCTATGCCTGTCTGTGTTTGTTTATGTGTCATATTATTGTGTGTCTACGTGTTTGTATGTTTGTGTCTGCATATCAGTGTGTCTCTGTGTCGTATGTCCAAGTGTATGTATGTTTGAAGGTATGTATATTGCCATTCAGGCTTTTTAATTTGTGTTACATTGTATGCTAATATTGTATATTTTGATGTATGAAACAACATTCTTTACAATCAAAACACAGTTCTCGAGTGAAAGATGAGCAATAGGAAGAGCTCAATGTTGAACCGGTTATGGGTGCCCAATTTATGACACTTTAGAATAATGTTCGTTCCTTCGTATCAGGGGGGCTAAAAAATAAAACATGCTTGGGGGGGGGGGGTGCTCAGCTCCCTATTCATTTTATACGGGGCCTAAATTTTGTTTAAGTATGTAATAATAATTAGGATTATAAACAATATAATATAATATTTAAAACAATGTGATAAGAATAACAAAACTTATTGTAACAAGTATTTCTTTATATGCAGTACAGATTGCTTTCTTTGTGTCTCTTTTTATATGTTTGTATTACTAACATTGTCCACCAAAAGAAAAGTTGTAATTATGAGGTTATAAGACGAGAAGGTCTGGAGCATGCTGCGACAAGCGAAAATATGACAGCTGATGATGGCAGGTCAACAGTGGGTAAAAAAGATTCATGGGGTTGACACAGTAACAGAGAAAACCTGACACAGTAACAGAGAAAACTGGACACAGTAACAGAGAAAACTGGACACAGTAACAGAGAAAACTGGACACAGTAACAGAGAAAACTGGACACAGTAACAGAGACAACTGGACACAGTAACAGAGAAAATAATCAGTGGTCGAACTGATCACGAATACAAAAGACTGGTGTGTGTCATTTTCCATGTTACTGATTACTTATTTAAGAAATGACATCACAGTACACCGGGGCATACCCATACACCCACCATCTGTAAATGTCAAGAAGAGTAGACTCTGACAGTTTTAAAACCACACGGGATCTGACATGATTCACTAACGCAGTTTGATGAATAGCAACGGTTCTCAACCTATTGGTTGCGACCCTTGTGTGGGTCGAACGACCCTTTCACGAGGGTCGCCAAAGACCATCGGAAAACACAAAATGACTGAAGTTATGAAGTTGCAACGAAAATAATTGTATTGTTGGGGGTCGCTACGACATGAGGAAAGGTCCTAAATGTTCCCCAGATTAGGAAGGTTGAGAACTACTAATGTAGAGGATCTTTAACGTTTTAATTTACCGTTTGTTAACAGATTCACGCAGTGCAGACTGAAGCCTTTCTCACCAACAAGAACTTAGGAGACCCTGCAGTGCTGCAAAGTAAGCATTTATTAGATTTCATTTGTGTGGATTTCATTTGTACAAGCCGCCGTGGTGTAGCGGCTAAATACTAGCCTGCTGATAGGAGGGTCGTGGGTTCGAGTCCTGACTAAGCCGGATATTTTCTTTAATGACTTTTGCTGCCAGGTCAACCCAACCTTGAGTCGTTACGAAATATAGTCTTGAGAAATAAAGGAAGCCGTCGTTAAGGTGACCACTTCATCCACCAAGTGCCGACTGGTCAGTAAAACGTAGGTCTAGCCCTATTTGCCCAAAATGCATGAAGGCCTAAAAAAGGGTCCTTTTACATTTGGACAAGTTGAACACTTTTTTTTTTTTAACGTTTCCGCATATTCGTCATGTAAAACGTTTTGCGAGATTGCCGGTGTAAATTAGGACAATCTGGCCAAGCAGTTTCATGTCTCTGTTGTGTGATGTCGATGTTATGTAATGATTATGTTCTGTAATGTCTACGTTGTGCAAACATTGACCACATGTATCACATCTTATAGGTGCCCTTAATATCCTGTCCGGCGAGGTGGTTCCGTCTGTTAGTCCAATTCTGTCCAGCCCAACATATCGCAAATCTTTGGCCCTTGGCCATTTCTACGAGGTAAGTATTGACTAGCTAATTGTGTGTATTCTTATTTTGTTTGCCGTCTCATTGATACCAGGTTGTAGCCCAGTTTTTCTGTATCCGTCTTGCGCTTCTCTGCTGGCCTAGATGATGGATTTGTTTATCCTTTTGCAGGTTTTAGCTAAACACAGTTATCCATCTCTTTCTTGGTCTTCCCCTTACCTTCCTTCCAGATGTTTTACTGTAAAAAGTCTTACATGCAGTTTGGTCTGGCTGCATTCTCGCTAGATAGCCGAACCTCTTCATTCCTTGTATGTCGGCATAATTCAGACACGGTCCTATTTCAACTTTCTCTCTAAACTATAATGTGCATTATACATTAATGATTTTTAAATCCTTATCGTTGCATATTTTTACCAAAACTGCTTTACGCCTTGTTCATCTATGTAATGTCAAAAAGTAAGATAAATATACGCCTACGAAATTGTCCTAGGGGAATGATTGCAGCGATGGCGTAAACAGGAACTTCTACAAATACCAAGAAGCAAAGAGAGATATAGAAGAAGACGATTTCAGGCCCTGACAACCCAAGTCCTGACACTGTAACAACACACGAAGGAAACGAGCGCGTCCTAGCTAGGCAAAATATCTTCCAGTAAACTAAGACGTCAGTTTGTCAACTGTTAGTTTCATGGATTCTCAACATATTGAAATGCTGTTACTGTTCACGATCTAAGTTATAAAAAGTTTTGAATGACATGACTATACTAATGAAACAATTTTGTAGATATTATCAGTATTTGCAAGATTCTTGCAATTAGAAACAATGGTGAAAATATGGGGGTGACTGCAGTCAAGCTAATACAAGGAATCCCAGAGAAATTTGACTAAAAGCTCAACAAAATAGGGAAGCAGAAAAATGCACAAAACAACACAAATAAACAGCAAGACATCCATTGGGAAAACTGGCAGGAAGCTAGCTGATCGTTTCCGGGAACACCTCTCCGATATCGACAAGAAGACACTTAAACCAATCCCTCTCCATTTAAACAGCTTTGATACAGAGGTAAAGATGATATATCTGTCACAGCTTTAGAATCTTGCTCATACTTCGCGCCTCGCTTTGGAAATCGCCTCATCCACAGCCTTGGCGTTTTTAGGAAAGGTGGTATCAATGTCCAATATTATACCTTCATTTAAACAGTTTTACTCTTTTCACATTTTAAATGTTAATTATTTTCTTCTCATTCCTTTCATATTATTACTTTATATTACCTCTTAAATATTAAAAATATTACTTTTTATTTTTTGCGACTATATTTTTTTTAAGCCATTGTTTATTTTATTTTATTTCATTTATTCCAGATTACATTTTTTTTTAAATGTTGCTGACGTCACCCCTTAGAGATCTGTATTCTCTCCTCTCCTCGTTGTTAATTTTGTGTAGTTTGACAAAGGCTGCCCGGCTGAAACGTTACGTTATTTGTGTTTTTTTGTGCGCGTTTTTCCGGCTTCCCCATTTTGTTGAGCTTTTTAGTCACATTTCTCTGGAATTAGAGAGAAAAAAAGAGGTGTAGGTGGGGGGGGGGGGGGGGGGGGGGGGGGGGGGGGGGGGTGTGCAAGATGAGACCAGCTATAAACATGAGTTAGTGTGTGATTGAATGAGTGAGTGAGTGAATTAGTTAGTTAGTTAGTTAGTTAGTTAGTTAGTTAGTTAGTTAGTTAGTTAGTTAGTTAGTTAGTTAGTTAGTTAGTTAGTTAGTTAGTTAGTTAGTTAGTTAGTTAGTTAGTTAGTTAGTTAGTTAGTTAGTTAGTTAGTTAGTTAGTTAGTTAGTTAGTTAGTTAGTTATTTAGTTAGCCAGTCAGTCAGTCTTTCCTTAAGCCCATGGCGATGCATAGTGCAGAGGTCATAGCTCTCCGTGTCTGGAGGCTCGCTGCCACCTGTTTCTCAATGGAACATAAGTGGTGTCTACTAAAAGTGAAAACAAAGTAAAACATTTTTCGACGTCTTGTGTCGTATCTTCACAACAGAGACGAGATATCCCAGAAGAGCTGCACGAGTAAAAGGAAGAGATACAATTTAAAATGAAAAAATTATAAGATCAAGGGTGAAAGCAGTCATGCAGTTTCTTAAAGAACAACAGATGAAATGGTTTGGCCATTTCTACACAGTGCAATGGCACCGACTGTCACAAAAATATCATGAACGCAAGGGAAGGGAAAGCATGTAATGACGGCATTAAAGACACATGACTAACTTATACAACGCATTGAAGACTGCGCACAGAAGGTTCTAGCATCCATGGAGGACGTGAAGAAGGTACTACCTCTACATCTTATCGATAAATCAACATTTGATGATAATTTATTAAACATCACTCAAACCCCATCCCATTCCTGGCACCTATTGTTTGTCTGGTCAGCTTCGGATGCAGTCAGTTTTAACAATCCACCGCCCCCCCCCCTCTCCCCCCCCTCCCCACTTTTTCCACTTGCCCACTGTTACGATAGCACAACCCTAGTAGCCACTAATTATTTGTTGCCTGCTCTGGATTTTACCGGACAATTTCACTCGCTCTTCAATGCTTGCTGTGCGGCTGAAGCTTATCCTGTTGTGGAAATCAACCTAAAGTGGCGTGTTCTAAATTGGCAATAGCTGAATCTAACCCGGTGTGTCAGAACTATGAAACTACGTTTAAAATTTCTAAGCCACTGGAATCGACTCTTATCTCAGTGGGATGCTTAAATATTTGGACACTATCAAATACCCCTTCGACCTTTAAGAGTTAAAATTGTATGTTTATTACAGTTCGTCCTGGGTTTGTGCAAGAACAATTGTTCTTCCCGCTTTGCCAGTGGAGGACTCGACCTCGTGAGGCCAGTGATGACAGGCAGCCAGGACCATGGCACAGACAATCCGTCAGTGTACCCGGCCACCAAGTCTATGATGAAGCTAACGGCCAACAACTTGGTAATTTCACAGATTATAAGTACACATAACAATGTCTACTATGTTTATGTTGAATAAATATGAACATAAACATAAACTTAGTACACATTGTTTGTGGCGTCTTCTACTAAGTCTGCCCTTAAAAAGTTAATTAATGCACTGTGTTGTGACTTACAGCTAGACCTCGATATCCCCCTCCCCTCCCCCCCCACCCCCATTTTGGTCCAACACATCTAATTTCAGCAAATCTCTATTAAGTAGTCTTTTACGGCATGCTTGTTTGGAGCAGCGGGTCTATCCCCCTCCACCCCCTCCCGAAAACGAAGTCCAGGAACACACACACAAAGTTAGTTCTTTATGACAACTCTTGTCTTCATCTAATCTCGGAAACTAGGATCGCTGCTAACAGACACCTGCCTAAATACGAACTAGCACCCCCCCCCCCCCCCCCCACTTTAAAAAAAACCGAAGGTCAACAGCCGTGTTCTTCTCAGATATGAATTTCAGCAAACCGATTAATTAGGCGCCTTTTACAACATGCCTTTGAAGGAGACACTGGGTCTATTCGGTTCCATGAAAAGGTCTAAGGAAAGCACCAGAAGACTGGGTCAAAGCATTTGTAGATCTGTCAAAAAATCTACAGAACAAATTGTCAGAAGATATAATGAAATCATCGAAAGATTGAGTCAAACAATCTATAAACCTATGAAGTCATCCGGCACACAGCCCCTGTCTTTAAAAAAAATCATTTTACAAGAGAAAACGACTTTTATCTTTAAGATAGGGCTGTACCGATTAGTGATTTTCACTATTCGGCCGAATACGAATAGCTGGACCAACTATTCGGCCGAATACGAATACGAATACGAATAGTTAATCATCATCATCATGTGCTTTGCCGGCTGGCATGGGCTATTATGCCTCGCCACAATCTGCGATCTCCTGCAGCACGTATTAGTTCGTGTGCTGACACACCTCCATGAAAAACCTTCGTTCCATGTTGTCAGCATTAGGCCAGCTTTTTGTCTCACTGAAGGTATTTCCAGCTGTACTAAACAGAAAAATACGACAAATACAGAGAGTCAAAATGAAAACCCGCAAGGCGAAACATCAAAAACAAAAATAACGCCGACGAAGAAAACAATTCCGTCCTTACAAGTCGCCCAGCCCCCCTGCGAGCTCACGGAACCAGACGCCGGGCGGCCAACTCCAGAAGCTCAAACAACAAAGACAATCAAGAAACCGAACTTCGATCAAAACATGCAGCCGCTGCCGTTTCCACGAGACGACGAAAGAACAGATACGACACCCATAAATGATGACGAACTCCCGTTGCTTCAAAGAATCAACGAAGAGGACACTCCACTCAAAGAAATCAAGCCGACAACACTAGAACACTTGCTTTTCTGCCCCTCTTACATTTTTAAGTGTTGCATTTTGTTTCTACAGCAACACACCTAAAAACACTATACTCGCAACACATGCAAGATAGAAATAAAGGGGCACTTGGTACGCTCGTAGGTGGTGCACAAAGATAACGCTTCACAGTATAAATCAAGGTGGGAAGTCTTAATGTTTTTTTTCCACGAGTCCAGAAACGGTTGTGAGGTAACCACTATTCGTATTCGGCCCGACCGCAACTATTCGGCCGAATACCGAATAGTTATTGGGTCCACTATTCGGCCCCGAAGCGAATACGAAGCGAATATTCGGTTCAGCCCTAATGTAAGATGCCAGCATCTGTAATGTAATGTTGTAGATTAACTAATAAACACTTTTTACATAAGTGACGCATTGGGTATATGCTTGGCTTATACTTTCCTAGACCAATCGAAACTCAGTAAGTGATGCTGCCAACATCATCTTTGTCGTCTTTACTTCCCAGAACATTTCCTAGCACTAATTTTAGGCTGGCTATACCTGGTTCCACTGGACAAAATGTCATGGCACACTGGCATACCCTTTATGTACAATGTAAACACCTAATGTGCCCAGTATAACACGTTGTAACCGTTGATACAGTGGTTGTCCAGACATTTTTCATATTTCTTCATTCCTCCTGAATGTATCCCCATTGTATGTTCATCATTTACCTCAGGCATTTGTTTTTCTAAATCATTCTGTGTTATTCTAATCTTACACAGTGGTAAACTTTCATACTTTGAGACAACGGGAGCCAACGTGGACTAGCGGCTAGACGCTCGCCTGCGGATCGGAAGGTCGTGGGTTCGGTTCCCGGCAGGGGTCGGACTTTTTTAAAAAAATGACATTGGCTCCCAGTTTAACCCAGTCTTCAGTGGATACCAGATGAAGTTCTGGAAAGTAAAGGCGGCGGTCGTGATGTGTCCACATTACCTACCAAGTGCCGTTTGGTCTATAAAATATAGATCTAGCCCTATATACCCAATACGCATGAAAAGAGTGGAAAGGGGCCTTTGCTTTACTTTTACTTTACTTTCAGACGACAGGAGAGATCAAGTTCGTAGCTGATCTCCCTCCCAGGGAAGGTCAACTTTACGCTGCTCCTGTGCTCAGTACACAAGGCAATGCCAAGATACAGAGCATAGACGCGTCACTTGCTTTGGTAAGTGATAGATCATTCTCTTCTAATGCAGAGTGACTAGTAAAGGTTCAGATTGCTTCACATATCCAGGACGTTCAAATTGCTTAACATATCCAAGACTTTGAGATTGCTTGAAGTATCCAGGACTTTCATATTGCTTAAAATAGCGAGGGCTTTTAGATTGCTTAAGATATCTGGGATTTTCGAATTGCTTAAAATAGATATTGTTTTCAAACTGTGTAAAATTGTAAAGGGCTTTCAGATTACTTAAAAGATCTAGGGCTTTCAGATTACTAAAAATATCTGGGACTTTCATATAACTTTTAATATCTGGGAATTTCAGACTGCTTAAAAAAAGAAGGACTTATGAGAGTGGCACAGTAAGAAACGATTAACAGAAGTGTATTGAGAAACATAGCTCTTATAGCTGAGCCCAGGTCGCCACAGAAGTGTTAATTGATCTCACTTAACAGAACCTGTAATCGGGAGTAGATCCAGGTGGGACGTATGCGTGGAAGAGTGTGACGTGCGATTCTCAAGTCAGTAGTCACTAAATTGAGCATAACTTTTCCAGATAGTTGCATGTTTCTTTGTGACTTCACTAATTAGAAAGTCAGCTAGAGATCCTCTTCGGCGGTATACACTTATCGCCGCTTACGACATGCTGTAGTACAGTAGTACTAATTCGTGATGTTTCCATGGGTACCACTGCACACAGAGGTTGAGGCCAAAGTTATACTGATCCAGAAATTATTTTGGTCAGCATCAGAAAAATACTGACTTCAATTTATAAACTTAACTAAAAGCTCGTGAATACCTTGTAATATTTCCTTTATCATTTAATTAAACGCGTATCAAGGTCCACTTTGTACTCACAATTGACCTTGGCTTCAAAGGTAGACTCAGCATAAAATGTGTAGCAGGTAATGTCATGGGAAGTAAAGGCGGCCAGCGTGATACTAATCCCAGCACCCGTCTAATGCCGATTGGTCTGTAAAAAAAAAAAAAAAAAACAAGCAAAGGTTCAACACTACAAGACTGATGCACCTAAGACCTGAAACATGTCAGGTATTTATTGTAGCCTCAATATGGCCCGACTGCCACTTATAAATGACACAAAGGCAGAGCTGTGCTAATGTGGATACAAGACTTTGAAAATTAACACTGTGTTGGAGAAATTGCTAGAGAAATCGACTTTCATGTTTGTCGTGCTGCGATTGATGTATGTTACATGTCAGTCTGTGAAAACATTTCTCTCACTTTGCATTCTCTCACTTTACACACACAAAAGTACTTGATTTATTTTCATCTGTAGCAAATCCCCGGTGTAGTGAAGTTTATCCAAGCATCGGACATTCCCGGTGTCAACGACTGGAGGCCCCATGACATTTATCCAGAAAATACCAAACAAGAGGTACGAATATGCTTGCGTCTCATCATTCCCATGTTCAAGAACCATGTATTGCACGGTCTTGTGTGTTTTGTTATTCTTGATAAACTCTTTCAACACCAAAATGTTGTCAACAGTAGACATCCTAAGAGATAGAAAGTAACCATTTTGAAATATAACTATGATTTTCTAAGACGATACCGTACAAATAGCTTCTTAGGCCGCAGACTTTTTAAGTAGGATGCCACCGATTACAAACAGGTTGACGAAAATTATAACACGATTAGTTTGATCCACCAGGAAGAACTAGTTTCGTACGACAAGTTTCTTTGGACTGAAAGAGTTGACAGAGTGAGAAACAAGGACATCGAACAAAAACCCTCAGACGAACGTTGTTGAGACAGATGAAAGGTGGTTGACTGGATTCTATCCACGATATGAGAAAGATTGCATAGCATATAATGAAATGGAGACTGTCAGCTCTGTATAGTGTACAACGGCTTGACACGATGACTACAGTGACTGTGATATGCTTCTTGATTCTCCATAAATACATGAATAAGTAGTCACGTTATTTACTACTTAATAGTATCGTTATCCGTTCGCGTCGTATATTGATGAAGGCTTTTTTGCCGCAACATTCATTTAACTGTTTGTTATGGTGGAATTTTTTAAGCTGACTAGCTCTACATCTCGTTTGGGTAAATTTTTGTTGTTGTTGTTGTTGTTGTTGTTGTTGTTGTTGTTGTTGTTGATTACTTGAGGAATAAAAATTATGATTGTCAATAAATATTATATAATCTACAAAATGGACACATGCAGAATGAGTGGATACCAAGCATAAGCACTTCGAACCATCTGTGTGGGAAGCTGGGTATCTCAGACCCCTTAACTCGTTCAGTACAATATGAAACAGGCATAATTCCATTGGTCACTTTTTATGTAACAGGCATTTATTCACTTTTGGTACCATGTTCTTTGCTATGTTAACAAAAGGTAACAAAAGTAGTAATGTAGCTAGAGACCGCGTTTTTCCCAGGCGTGCTTTCTGATTCTATGAGCGTGCTTTAGAAAATAAAGACAGGATGGTTCGGAGAAAATTGTTTGAGTCGCTGAAGAAATCTCGTCTGTTATGAATTAGTTTCCTTTTTATCTGGACACCCTGGAGTAAGGGGGAGTGAAAGAGAGAACTGGCTTGCAGGCAGGCCACGGTAGGTAGAGGAAAAGCAATGGACCAGGTCTAGGTTCTCAGTGCTCTCAAGGAGGCAGAACGACGAAAGGATTCAGGTTGTTCCTATAATACTTTCGCTCCCAAAGCGGTATTGTTCAGCTCTACGAGATTAAAAGATGGCAGTGCTAGGAAACAAAACCTTAGGCATTGACATGAGGGAATACAACAGTAGCAGACACTTAAAGAGTTACACAGACACCCCCCCCCCCCCTTTTAATTTCCCCCGCCATTCTGATTCCACTAACAGGAGACATTGAAACTCACTTCTCACAGGAGAAACAGCAATAGCTGCTGAATCGAAGGAATGGGATGCCTAAAGTGCAGAAACGTCGATTTTGATATCAGATAACTTCGACATTACAAATACTCACGAATATCTTGTCTGGGACTTCCAGATGTGAGAGAAAGAACGAGACTGAACGAGATCGTCTTTCCAAGAGTTTGTTTTCCGTAGTTAAATTACTGTCATCGATTTCTTCACCGGCTGTACACTCCGGCGGAAAGTTCTGGTTGTTGTTCCACTTCTGGACTGCAGTCCTGTTTCAGAACCTGAGTTTTGCGTGTGCATCCGTTTGACAGATCTGACTAATTTGAGTGTAGACTGTTGGCTTCTCGCGTCTTCAGCAGATGCATTACGACTTCGAAGGAAACTCCCAGTTAGTCGACTCTTACGACATGCTTTTGGGTAGGCAGTAGGTCTATTCTTGTTTATTCTATAATAGGGCCCCGGAACCCACACGGGGTTGTGATCGGTTTGAACATGTGCAAGACAATACAAGGACAGATGGATAAACTACCTATCACTTCCATATGTTCGCTGGGGGAAATAGTTTAAACGAGTTGGTCTGACAGGTAGTCTTACTCCCGTAGCTACAATACTATCATGGAACTGAACATGTGCAATGAAACATGTATCTCTGTTTCTGACTCACTCTATTTTGTCTAGTTGCTGAGCTCTGGCCCAATATTGTATGCTGGACAACCCATTGGCATTCTTGTGGCAGGTGGGTACTATCTCTTTTTAAAAAACAAAATAATAATCGGCCATTGACAATAAATGTTGTTTTAACTAATTAAAGTTAGGGGGGGGGGATTAGTTAATGGAATAAAAGAAAGGAAATGTCTATGAAGAATACTAAATGTAGAAGAGACAGAAATAGGGATATCATGGAACGAATGGGGGCAGAACCAATACTAAACTACATCAAAAGATTCCAGATCAAATTGACTCAGAGATGTGTCAAGACCCCCACAAGATGGAGTCCTGTCACTTAGACATAAAGGAAACAGGACTTGCGGTCGACCACGCAAGCGATGGATAGATGGACAATCCGAGGCCTTGAATACCAGCATCTGCATAGCACATACCAATTCCTCACAAAACGTGGCGCTGGAAAGCAGACAGGACTATGGAGGAGGAAGAAGTATAACATTAAAAAAACTGTTCATCTCTTGTGCACCCTAGACATATAGGGCTAGACCTGTTTTTAAATATTAATTAGCACTCGATAGTTAATTATGATAATGAAACACTTCTCAGTAAGGAAGTCTTGAGGAAAGAGTGTGTGTGTGTTTTATAAACTGACACTTACTCAGCGGGTAGTACTTATTCAATAAATCAATTATATCACTCACGACTCCATTTGTGTTGGGGTTGGTGCTTAGAATTCTCCTTCTTATTGTTGTTGCGCTGCTTGTTGATAAAGACTTGTGTCGAAACGTTGGATTATATTTGTGTGTAGCTTGTCCTGCCTCCTCGCTAAGCACCTAGACATAGTTCAGCTGTTTTTTAATATCAGTAATCGTTTATACTTAAACATTTACAATTTAAACGTCGGATCATTGGCTTAGGCGTTGCGAACTCTTTTCGTAATGGCGGGTTAAGTTTGGCAGCAGACAGATCTAAGCTGCTTTCAACAGGGATTTAAAGAGCCCACTGTTTAGAAATCAATGGCAAACCATTGAACGTAAATTTGCCCAGAGAATCAAAAACAGCCAAAAAATCTGGGGCTGGCTCTGCAACAGCCTGTAAAGGACAGGTGACTTATTTATAATTGAAAAAAGAATACATCGAGCTCTGAGTATGCCGGGGTACGCCAGGGTATGTCAAGAAATGTCAGGCTATGCCGGGGTATGCCAGGGTATGCCAGGATATGCCAGGGTATGCCAGGGTATGCCGGGGTATGTCAGGGTATGCCAGGCTATGTCATGATATGCCAGGATATGCCAGGATATGCCAGGATATACCAGGGTATGTCAGGGTATGTCAGTACTACCTGGTGTAAGAAGTATGTGTTCCTGAATTATTACTTCTTGGAAGTTAGAAAGTAACATCCATTATTTGTCTGAGATGCTATGGGATCGTCGGTAGAGATAGACTGTCCTTTCTGCGACTGTCTCGACGGTCTGTCCTTCTGCAGCGAGAGAAACTAATGGGATCCAGCCCAGTGTCATGAAGTCAGTCCTGTCA